TTATGCTCACACGGGAAGGCGCGTGAGTGGATACACGTAGGCAGGAGAAGCGAAAGAATGCTCCAGAAGGTCTGATGAGCTGTTGAAAGGGTAATCAGAGAAGAAGATAACGGGGTGACTTCGTTATCAGATACGCCATCTTACCTACTAGAACATCTCATGGGGACCATAGTCGCGGTGTAACGTTCCGAGAATACTCAAACACGGAGCCGTAGATCACGGGGGCATGGATGAAAACGGGACCAGGATTTGGGCCGCCACGTCCGACCCGCCTTCCGATGACCAGGCCCCAGGTATTAGATTTTGAAGCTCAAAAATGCTACACACCTTCAGCTGGAATCATGAAATAATATCGCGGGTGGCTTACCCAGCAGCTGCTCCTTGTAATGCCTTTTGCACTTGGTCAGCAACACGAACATTCTTCTAGGTTGTCGTAATTAGAAGCTGCCAAGATCATGAGGATGAGGTATGGTTGATGTTAGTGCTCATGCATCACGGTGGTGGTGGAATGAGCTGTTGAGATACAAGTCAGAGACTCGGATGAGGGCAACAACTTATTCTCGTTCAGAGGTTCGGGCTGGTCCACGAGGCAAAATCCAAGTGAAGGCTTTGGTGGTTGCGGAACCGAACTTCTGAATGAGCGCCTAACAAAAGTATGCATTTCAAAGTTCCCACAGTCAGAATGTGACCCAAATCCAACCGCAGACTTCAGAGAGCCTGGTTTTGCGCGTAGGGAGAGACAGTATCGATTACATGAACCCATTTGTTGACCAAGTGGAAGATAAGCAGCATCGTAAACATACACATACACAAGTACATATCCGGCGTGAGAATGAGAGGCTGAGTCGTACATGGACAAGATGTAGTCCAAAGAAACTGCCATGAATAAGATGGGTCTATCCTGAGCTTCCTTGGGACTGAGAGCACCCAAGAGTCTCTGCGACATCCTCTGGACCTTTAACAAAACTATCGGGACAGAGATAGAATATGTTCTAAGGGAAGGCAGGGTAAGAAAGGAGAGCGGGGGGACAGCAAGATACTCACTGTGTCAGAGGGAGAAAGTCCAGAGCATGGAGCGATATGCAGTAACTCGGCCTTCACAGAGTCGGAGGATGCAATAGTCATATTGCAAGGTACGAAGGCCAAACAGTCACAAGCGTCGCGAGGACCAATATGGTGGAGGGTCCCCTCGTAGGGAGCATCAGCACCGACCTTCACCCGTACCCGGCCCAGCAACGTCAACTCTTGCCCTTCAACAGCAAGAGGGGGAGACGTGGCGGGTTGGAGTACAGAAGGTGGACGAAAGAATCGCTGGTAAGTGTTGCAGGAGCGGCGGAAGTGATGGAATTCGGGGAGTCGGAGACGGAGAAAGTGAAGACGAGGTTGTACGCAATTACTTGCAGAAATCCTTGCTCCTGGATGAGCTCTCCTAGACGAGACATATCCAAAAGCGTTGCGATATCGTTGGAATAAGCAAGGGTGGGATCAACGGTGGGAGCGAGCAAGGTGGAGAATACAAGTTTCTGGGGTGGCACTAGTTTGCTGACTCTCAACATCTCGCAGAAGGTGTCCCAGACGAGATCGGAGGGAGGCGCAATGGACATCTTCAAGTATTCGAACATGCTGAGGCTCTCAAGGATCAATCGATCAATGCGCACTCAGCATGCCGCTCGTACGAGAGTATTTAATATGTTTTTACGTGGGAATTCCCACCTAATTCATGCGGGCTCGCCTAATCAGAGTGTTAGTTTGATGCTTCATAGAAATTTATCTGCATTTTCTTTGTGAATAGGGACAGAAGTCTAAGACCGGTGGATACCTGGTTGAGTGGGCAGGTGTCGAGATAATCTGAGGGGTACACCCAGTGATGATGATTGATACAACTCATGTATGATGCCTAGTACAACTATTGCTGATTCCTCACATAATGTTGCCTGAATTCTACAGGTACATTATTCCTGTATAGAAGCCAACTTTGTATCTTCTATGTATATGGTTGGAAATCCTTTGATATATGACCGAGAATACCCCTTACCCCTTAGGGGTGTCAGGAAACAGCATGTTGCACTGACCCCCAGATGTTTCAACACTCAGAAGACTGTCAAAATCTGATAGAGACAGTGTCATCTCTTCTTTGGCATATCTATTACCTATATGCAGTCATGGTGAGAGGAACAGGGCTCATATGGCGCTACACCTACTCTTATTCTTCAAAAACTACATCTGCGGCAAATTTGCTTCATCTATCACATGTATTGCTAGATCCATTCTTTTGAATGGCTGATTACTTAGTATTGGCTCCATTCACTTAATCCTAAATGAGACTCAACAGTAGCAAGAAGAATTTACACTTACATGTACCACCCTATAGCCCCTTAGGGGCTCATCAGGAGCAGGAGCAGGTTTTGGGCAATCTCTTAATAATCCTTAACTCGTATCTAATTCTCATTACTCTAGGAGGCATCCAAGATGTGCTGTACCTAGTACCACGAGTCTTCTTTGGCAGCAGGTTCCTATAATTGTGAACTGTGCATGGTTGATGAGATAGCAAAGTAATTGCTCAATATCTACTCAGGCATGCAATCCTAATGATTGATGTCTGATACATTGGATTGTGTACTTCATTTGTTTTTACAATCCTCCATCCAGAATTCAATTCTCTGGATAAATAACTGAATTTCCGGTTGGCTCAGTAATCGCGCGCCGCAGAAGGTTTAAGGTTCTGGAGTTTTGAAAGTCAGCTGGCAAGCAGCGCAACGCGCAATGCACGCACTCTCCCACGGGGTGACCATTTTGAAAGTCAGCTCATAGCAAGCGCCTTGCGCGCAGGCTAACAGACCAGCGCATATTCTCACGGGGTGACCGTTTTACTCACGGGGTGGTCATTTCTCACGTACGCGCAGGCACAGCCACTACGTTTTTTGGACCCCCCACGCAGATAAATAGGGGAGCAAGCTCCCCAATAAAGCACGTGACGCCTCCTAAGGCGCGATGTAAACGTTTTAGGAGTCCAAGCGCTCCGTACGTCTCTTCATGTCCAGCTTTGCTTCAGGGAGCGCGAAGGTGAGGCTTTAAGCTTAAGCTTTAATTATCGTCCATGTTACTAGACATCTCGAATACTGACTGGGGGATGTCTCGCAGACTCGCAAGACAGGGAAACACTCTCCCTTGGCTCCTTCAATCTGGGCGCGTAACAGAGTACAACTTTCCCCAGAGTTGCTTCGGGGTGTTTTTGAACACCTCGACAACGCAGATAACGCACGAAATGCACGCGTCTGCAGGAACTGGCGCGACGGCGCGTTGAATTTGGTGTGGCGATGTGTCGACCTCGGAGACACGCTACGACTGTTGGCACCCTTGGTAAAGAATAAGAAGGGGGGCTTCTACGTTAGTATTGCTATCCAGTCTCGTGTGAAGCTTGAATCCATACTTAATCCCCGTCAGAAATTCTCTCGCAACGTTTCAGTCCAAGACTGGGAACGCTTCCGATGTATACGCGAAGAGAGTGCAACAACTCACTGCCTGTCCAAAGAACCAGTAGGATGTCTCCGTTGGCCGTGTTATTGGCTACACAAGACAACGCCTAGAGATCTTTCCTGGCCTCCAAGCCCTGGCGTTTGAGAGTAATTTCCACCTCGTTCCCCTCTTCCTTCACCACGGGGTCAAGCAGTTATCCTTCGTCATTGACACGCTCCCCGCCACCCAAGAATTGTCCGTGAACCTGCCGTACATTGCGCCCAGCGTCCCGACTCTAAGACACCTAACGGTCACCGGCCATCAAGGCCTCGGCCCGTCACTTGATGTCGTTGTCGAGATGCTCAAATGTCTCGGCCATCTGCAATCCCCCCGGCTACCCCTCCAGTGGTTCGCGCCCGCCGTCATCAACGAGCTCGTGTACCACGACGAGCTGTCGTATCTAGGGATCACAACACCAGCTGGGGAATGCTTCGAGATGCAGGGACCCGAGAACGACATCTTCTCGATCACGATGCCCAAGCAGGGGGGCATCCCTTCTCTTACCGAACTGAACCTTGCGGTGGAGATTTCTACTGTTGCAAAGTGCCTCCCGCATCTCGATGCCCTCCGCACGCTCACGCTCCTGCCACCGCAGGCGGCATCATCGAATACCTTGAGCACTTTCATTGCAGCCCTCTCGGACAGGACACCGTCCCTGGCATCTTTAACCATCGATTTCCAGAACCCGTGGCCAAGCCCTGCTTCACCCGGAAACTGCCTCACTGAATCCCCATCCTTCGGAACACCCAGTCAAGACGTCTCCCAAATTATTCCGTTTACCGAATTTCCTTCAAGTAAGGAGAAAATTGGAATACTTGGGGCTGTACATGGGAATACCACATCCTACGGCGCTGCTTGTAGAGCCAGAGTCAAAAGCCCGGATAGCGAGCTCCTTGAAAGAGCTGGATTTCGGACACTCTCTGCTACCGGAAAACTCACTTCCGGTCGCCATCTACCTCAGCGGCATACTTCCCGTGACATGCAAGCTGACGGGCTCATCAGATACGACACAATTACAGGAAATGTTCGAGACGATGGTGCAGTTCCGGGGTAAACGACAACGTACCAGTGTCGCCGCTAAACCCAAGCGAAAACCGAGGCGGAAATAGCCTGCATCAAGCCTATATCCGAACTCCAGTCGGTTCCCCCTTGTACTGCTTGCGGATGTCTTGTTTTCGTTATATATTATATATATAGAGTAGTTTGTCGATCACATAATGTCGTTCTCAGATCTCAATGTCAAAGCTCAAGACCTTGGTTTTAGGCCTACCCGCACTGCACACGCCGATTAACTTCTCTGGGGAAAGGGACGCTAAATGAATCTGAATAGGCGGAGTCCCTCCTCGTTGTGTAGACCATCAAGTAACATTCTATCGATCCTGGCTATCTAGCAGGAACTCGAGTGAATTAGGGTGTTGAAGAGAAGCTAGAGTGGCTACAACAATTGTATGTAGCGCAAAAAATCTCACCCAGCATCTCTCTACTGCTCCTGGCAAGGCTCGAACTTGCGACCTTTGGATTACTCACATCAGATGTGATCATACAGTAAGTATGAGACCAACGCTCTAGCCAACTGAGCCACAGAAGCGATGAGTAGAGATAGCTTTGGTTCAGCCCTGGCTCGTTCGGTGAGGATTGTAACAACCGGTTATCTTTGGCTCTGGACCAACAGGATAATCCTGTTCTCAATGTTGGTAAGAGACCGTTATCAGCATCCATTTGGCTCAAGGCACAGCTACGTAGCCGTCCATCATAGAGCCATTGCCTGCAAGGGGAACCCCCCAACGAACCACGACTAAGAAGTAGTCAGAATGCGACCAGCCGTCGAGTAAAGATACACACCGGTACCCAACCTCGGTCCCCGCTATCCGTTTTCACCACGTATGACCAATGGACATGTCGCTTGAAGACTCTCAGTGCGTCGCCTGAGGCCATATCCAACTCCCAATCCCCTTTCCTCCGGTAATCCATCAATGCGATACCTGGTGCACTTTTTGAGATGATACTCTGCGCGAGAATCGGCACAGCAATTTGGGGGGAACCATTCCCTCCTGATATCGGCGAAACATCTGGGCGGGATGTGGTCGGTTCAGGCGCCATTGGTATGCTCGTTTCGAGCACACATCCTTTGGGTATCCACCTTTCCATAGATGACTCAGAGTCAACAATTCCGCCCCCTCTCTGATCGCGCTGAACGACGAGCCAGCCGCTAGCTCGAGACAAGACAGAAAAAGTATCTCCTCTGTCGCGAAGCACCCATAAGTTGGCGTAGATGAGCCTAAGAGGAGAGCGAGACGTACACAGCAACATCGAATTCGTCGCCCTGCGCTGCTATGTAAGGGTATACGGCCACCGCGTATGAGCGAATATCTGCAGCAGTGCTGTTACAGAACCCATGACCGTGGCGTGGTCGTCCGTGGGCCAGTGCTTCTTCCGACGTAGTAGAGTCTACAAGCTGACCCATGGTGCCTTCACCTAAGCCTAACGATCTGATGTCGAGGACACTCTCCGTATCATCGTGTCCTGCGTTCGTTCGAGCGGCAATTTTCTTCTGGGCGATGACAATGGGCGACGGGAGACTTTCGAGACGCTTGAGTATGAAAGCCGGGTCTTTGCCAGCATTCTTCAGCTTCATGAATTTCGCGAGCGGTCTCCCATCCCACGATAGGCAGTGCTCGATACGATTCTCTAGGAAAGGGGATCATAATCGCCCCGCTATCAGCGAAGTGATGAGATCCGCTTACCAGGAGGGCCATGGCGTATCAATACAACATAGTCCTTCCAATCGCGGTTTGGTATCCCCTGATTTCTCAGAGCAATTCGTAGAACCTCCCAAGTAGGAGCTTGCGCAGAAACTTCCAGATCGCGCCAGTCATTATGACGACCAGATAGGGAGATATTCAAGGCTACGAGGGTGGCTCTCAGGTGGCTGACTCCGAGCTAGAGTTCAAATATAAATGGCATACCCACCTTGATCTTCGTTCTCAGTCGCCTGCGCCCAGAGTCCTCGGGTTTCGGACATGGCGAACTGCTGGGGGTGACACAGGCGGGATAATGGGTTCTCGAAGATGCTTTAATACTTTAGCAGGTCAGGTTCGGTGATTTGCGGTATGCGGCGTCACCGCTCTGGTGGGTTTCTCATGGCTATTGGCGCCCAGCTCTCCTCATGCCGACAGTGACACCATGGATAGATCATAGTGGTGGCCAACACTGCCTCCAATTGAACCTCTCTGTAATATACAAAGATCTCGCGCAAAATGGCGGAAATCGTGTCGGATTGTGGCGATGTTCGAACACCGTATACGGTTGGGCAAACACTGTACCTGATTGCGGAGCCAGAACTGAAAACGCTGGGCATTAGGGACAGCGATTTCAAGTTTGGGCGTTCGGTCTAGCAACACCCATCGCGCGCACCTAATTTTGTGCTCCTTTGTTGCACGAGTTCAATATGTCCATGCAATTGAAAATACACGAAGTGGCGTAAGCAACGTTTACAGCAGCAATTAATGAAACGTACTAAGCACCCACCATTCAAAGTAACCAATCCGGCAGAATTTCATCACTGTCGACCTCGACGACACCCTCCTCCCAATCAGACAACCACTCAGTGCCCCCCGAGCCCTCCCACCTGACCTCAGTCGGTGCAACAGAACCGCGGAGCCAGCGATGACAGCATCCAAGGTCCCCAGAGAACTCCACGAACTCAAGTGAGGCGATGGCATCGAAGCATTTGTTCGCCTCACTGAACAGAAAGGGCGTGCCTTCCTGATAGGCGAAACGCACGCCCCGAAGCTCGTGAAGGTGCGTCGAGAAGGTGCATAGCCTGCGCAGGACTTCGGGAGTATTGGTCATGGAGCGAATCTCCAGCCATTCAAGGTTTGGGAAGAATGAGATCCCTTTGAAGAGCACGGCTGAGTTGAAGTAGGAATGACAGGAAAACAGCCGTATGTTGTCGAGAAAGCTGTTTCGACCCACAGGGCGGGCATAATACGGAAGATCAAGCATAGTAAGGCGTGTCACGCTAGCAGGTAGTTCGAAGAATTGGTGGAATACAGAATATGTAGTGGTCAAAACCTGCAGGTTTTGGAAGGATGATGGGCGGAAAATAGATGCGGTAGACTTGCTGAGAGAGGGACAATAGAGGCGCAAGATTTTTAGCTGTGATTGTGCCTCCAAGAAATGTACCAGAGGGTCATCCATGTCAGGGATGCTGATACTGAGCTCGGTGAGAGAAAACGTCGCATCCCGAAGAAACTGGAGTGATGGCCGGGGCGATGGGAGTGTGAGGCTGAGCGATGTCAAGTTGATCGTCTTGATCAGAATCTTATCGACAAGTTGAAATTGATCGTCCTCGAGGGGGTCATCATTGTCGTAGAATATGAGGCTACGAACAAAGAGCGCCATGCGTCGACCGTTAGGTTGGGGTTCTATTGCTCCGAGGAAGCACTTGAGATTTGCCACTGTTGGGTGAAATGCTGCATGGGCGTAGAAGAACGGCTTCACTACCTCGCAGAGCCTTGGTGAAGATAAGAGAAGATTCCAGAGAGCTTCTTTACCCCGCACATATTCGAGAATCAGATACACAGTCTCGTCAGAAAGAGCTGGCTGCATAGTACTAGTTGGAAATGACTCGACAGCACAATTCAGCCTGGTGGTTCGCCCTTGCTAGTGGTCTTCGGAGGCTTTTTACTCGGACAAGACCGCGTTGAATATCGATGAATCCGCGAATGTTTGCGGCTTTGAGTGTTGAGTCACTTCAACAGCGATTTGGCATCCGAGTCGTTTCGGCAACTGCCTTACAAGCGCCGGCAGCAATATGGGCGCTTAGCCGCTCAGGTTTACTTCCCGGTATCTACAAATCCTCGCCACACACCAAACTCTGGTACGTTTCACCAGTTCCGAGCCACTCTTGGTACGCTGCTTTCCCTGCACCAAGATTCTTGCTGCCGCACTTCCGAAAGCGAACATCAAAGCGCCCACAACTCTGTTTTTGATGATCAGGATGATGTTAGCGTTATGCATGGCGCTGGGAAACCATCGCCGATCAGAAACATGTCATTCATAAGTTAACATTCACGCAAGTTGGTAAGTGATAAGCATTCCTTGTCATCAAACTGGCCACTCCTGTCTGGCTACCCGTCTTCATATTGGATCATTGGATGACACACACCAATCACCATCAGAATGGAGGGACACTTCGACACAGAATGTTTGTTCCGCATGCAGTGGCCAACTTTGAGGTGTTTCGTAACGGTGCTAGGCGAGTGAATGGCAGAGCAACCTGGGTCTGGGTGCGGGTATGTGCATTCTAGCCTACATTTGAGATCAAATTGATGAAGAGCTGCCGTGAACGCTACGAGAACAACTATTTCACTGTAAATCGTTGCAATACGGACCACCGGCCAGCGAGGGAGTATTTGAAACACACAGTCGGCCGAAGCCTATGTTTCTGCTATCGAAGAGAAGGGCCACACCCTTGACCATCGAAGTCCTTCGGGTATGGAGATTTGATCTACAAATCGAACTCAATAAACCTGTCCACGTCCCTGCAACAACTTTAGGACATTATACTTATGGGTCTGTGCGTGTCAGCACCATAACACTTTGATCATTAGCAATGGTACACATGGAACAAGCCGGTTGATCGATATGAGTATGCGCGGCTCAGGAACAGGATAGTCACAGCGCCTGAGCGAGCTAAATAGGTCGCCTTAGGCTTCGGTAAGGGCAGCGTAGGAATTGTTGAGGAAGCTCGTGTGTGAATAGAAGTAGATATAGGGTGCGCCGCTTACATATAGATAGTTCAAACTCCCAAGAGTCAGTTCGAACCCGACGATATGGGATGGATAGTCAGCAGACATAACCACCGATTTGGTGCGAAGCTGTGGGAGGGCGTCACCTTTGACCAACGTGGTCGTGCAAGCCTGCGGTCTATTCTGCGAATGTGGCTAGACGCTTTAGGAAGTCGGGTCTTGCTGCGAACCTGATGCGTGGCATTGTTTTGCGGTGGTCGATGCTGGCAAACAATGTCTACAGACTACATGCCCCATGCGTTCCGCCAATCCATGCATGAGCCGATTGACAGCGCGTCGTCAGTCAATTTTACCACCATTTGAACAACCCCGCGTCCAATACGGTCAGGTCAAGTGGGGGCACAAACTTTGGAGTCGAATGTACTCACCGAGTCCCAAATCTCCCTTTTCGGTCCAGCTGTTCCCACGGACGAAGGGTTGTTCAGGGTTCTTCCTCCTCCTTCGTCGACGATCTCATGATCAGGTCTCTATATCGAGGTTTGAGGGCGACTGCCCACCTGCGATATGAACAGGTTCGAGAAGTCCGTGCATCTCTTCTCTGCTTCTCTGCCCGCCGTGCTACACGGCGTATCGAGATTCTGTCAACAGGCTCCTGAACTATCTACCGCTGGATCGGTGCGCAGCTTAGCCCCAGAATCCATCAAGCGACCCTCCGTAGTACTCCGTCGCGCATAGATCAATCCTCTAATCTCGGGTAGGCGAAATCCGCATGTAGGGCTTACCACAGGGATCGGGCAGCTTTGGTCATTGATGGCTTCTGATTGCGGTCTTGGGG